CCCCAAAACCCCAAAACCCCAAAACCCCATAGTTCTCATTTTTGAATATAAAAGCTAAACCAAAATAAATAAAGTATTTACTAATCTCGATATATTATTCTATTAAAGTTATCTCAGTTTTAATAAGTTAGTCTGGTAATTACTTGTTTATCTACACGATTATGAGAGCAAGAAGCAATTCAAAATCAATACTGTTAGTAATCACTCATAAGCCTCCTACTCGTCCTTCTACTAGTATCATCTCTAGCACTTGGTTCATCATACCTATTTATCTCAGGAGTATAATTTTGATTCATATATCCGTTTTACAGCACTAAATGAGAGTTAAGATTAGTTAGTTTAGGCACCATTAATGATAACTTCCTGGTAGGATCTTGATTCTTCTTCTTTTTCTTCTTTTTAACAGTAGATTTTTTCTTGGGTTTAAAAGTACTAATGCCTGCTGTCTATGGCCCAATTCTAGGTGTGATGGGTATTTCGTCAATAATATCATTAGTTCTAACTGATTGCTACTCAAATTATTTCAATTGTTGGGATATATTGTCCATCATAGCTTATAATTAAGATTCTTCAACATTATAGTATCTGCTAGTTGAAAAATTGCTGATATCATTTAGAGATGATTTCTTAGAATTAATTGGACCTACTGACTACCTTCGTTTAGCATTGATTGCTCCAAAGTTAGATGGCTTTAGCTAAATTATAGCATTAGAGGTAGGATATGCCTCCATTTAACTGTGTCTCTTTCTTGCAGGAGGACTATCTAGTACATGTTTGCTCTTCTTAAGGATACTTAAATATGGTATTTTCTAAACCATTTACGTAATGAGATTATTGGCTGAGAAATATTTTTCCTTCACTTGCTACTACTTTATTTCATCTATTTATATTATTTAATCATCTGGAACTAATTGCTCAACTTTAATCTCATTTATATTCATAGCAGTAGGATCAGCGCTTGAATCCTTTTTGGGATGTCTAAAGAAAGTGAAATCTTCAGGGTTCTTGCTTATTATATTGTTTACCATTGATTGATCTTGAATAGCTAGTAGTCTTTTATTTGAGGGTGTGCTTGCGTGTTTAGAAATTAGATATTTACCCATGTTTGTCATCTTTTATTTCCTTATCAATCTTCTTTGTTTTATTTTTATAATAGCATTCTTGATTGCCTTTTTTACTCTTTTTGTAATCTTATACCATATCACACAGACATTTATGCAAAAGAATGATGCTGCCAGGAAAACAATAGTCCAACCAACTTGATATCTCATTTCTATATCAGGTATCAAATCTCCGACAAGAACAAGTATTATGATTGTAATTACTAAGAATACACTTTCGTTGAAAACCTCCATTTTATTGCTAAGTTTTGAGTCTAAATGCATAAAGAGTACTTGATATTCCAATATCTAGAGCGTTAAGATAGCCGTAACAAGTATTTGAAATACTCCGTAGCCTACTACAAAGATGCAACATACTGCGTAAATCATCCTACGAAGGAAGAAAATAGAGGAATCGAAGACCAGATAGGATTTCTTAGGGTTAATTGCAAGATAGAGAGTACCAAATTTTGCCATAAATCTCTGTTCAGATAATTTGCCTGAGTTTCTGTTTAGGAATATATAGACCACGACCGGTAAAAAACTGAGAATAGCCATCATAGAAATAGAAACGAACTTTTATTAAGTGTCCTCTTAAAATTCTTGAAATATAAACTATTAAAATATTAACTATCAGATTATTACAGCATGAAGTGACATATTAATAGCAATGCAAATACTAAGGAAGCTCTGTGCAATTGATCTTATAAGTGAATTGAAAAACAGCATATTTTGTAGTTTGATTAAGACATTTTATACCCTTTTAAATTATTAGTTAATATACTTACGATTTAAATCTGGTAGACATCCGTCTCACAAGCATAGCGAGTAAACCTAATAAAATAAAAAACCCAAGAATTAGTATAACTATTGCGAGGTTGATAAGAATGCTAGTGTATCCGTATCGTGAAGCAGAGTTATGAAATTAAGATTAAAGGTTAGTAAGTGAATTTAAAAGATATCTCCATTTTGAAGCTGATCAGTAATTGAATCATTGGATGAGTCTAAGTAGCCGAAGGCATAATTCTTAATAGTTTCCTTATCTATGATTTATAGCGAGGTGATTCTGATGAATGTTTCGAAGCACAAAATCACGTTTGATGGAAGATTAGTTCCCATTAAAGGTAAACTAACCATTAGTTAGAGAATTGCCATCATCCTCCAAAGCAGTCTAGTAGAGAATTTGCCTGCCATCTGTAAGAATAAATTTATAAAGATCGTAGTCCAAAGTGTATTCTCACTGTATACCACTGACTATTCTAATACCATCATTCCAGCTTAAAAATTCAGTTTAAAGATATAAACTTACTAGAATCATCAAACTATTAAGGTAGTGGTCGTTTTATTACGGTGTATCTAGCAATGTTTGCTTTTCCTTTTTTATAGTATTCACTTAATGTGAAATTTATCTCAAGCATATCCTAGATCTAAATCGTAATTAAGAATTTAAGTGATTTACTGATGACTATGATATTCTTCTCTTGTCTGAAAATTCTAGATAAAGCTTTAAATCTTTATTGGAGTAAGATAATGTTTCGTAACTAGATACATTCTGAATCTTGAGGTCTATCGTTTTATTTATGCCGTCTCTGACTTATATCCGTAGTGTTTAAATCAAATGAAGAATACTGATGTTCTTAGGTAATTCTAAGGTATCATTGAATCTAATAGTAACTTGGCCTTTGTGAGTAATGCTTACTATTTTTGCAGTGATTTTCCCATTTCCCATATCTAAAGGTGATACTGGTGTTTGTTTTTTATCCTCTGGTCCAATTATTTTTAAATTCATCAAGTATGATAAATCCTCTTTGTCTGATTTTCTTATGCCATATAAGATGAGATCACAAACCATTCCAATGTCTTTAGGATCGGCAGTTATCACCAGTCTGTGATTATCATATTTTACTATTTAAGAGCATTGGCCGAAATCTAAACTCAGTGAAAACACATTGAAAAATTGAATAGCTCGATATACATTCTTATATACTCTTTTGGTTACTTATTATCCTATCATAATATCTTGGTCTTTCAATTTTATGTAATAGTCCATTAGGTTTTCTTGATCTGTGTAGATTTTTTAAACTATCTCAAATTGATATAAAGTTGAGTCAGTGCTTGATGTGAGTGAATCAATACAGGTTAGTTAAATTGTGTAAATACCTATTTTTGTATTGTCTACTGTAAATATATTAAAGATTCTAGTAGCAGCATCAAAACTAATAAAACTAGGTAATCCTGTCACAGAATAAGCTAGATTTGTACACTATGGATAAGTTTACACAAATGACTAGGCTTAATATGCAACTGCTTATCCAAGGCCTGCCAGTTATTTTTCGTTTTATGGCACTTTAGTTACTTAGTTGTATGTGCACAGAGATGGAACTAAAATTACAAAACTATCAGTAAATAGATTAACACTCTTCATTCCAGTTGCCGAAACGAAATCAATGACTGAAGGAACATCAGCTGAGACAGTTACGATATAAGTCCCGTCCAAGGTGAGTCCATTGCTTTAAATTGAGAATTAGATTGGTGCAACTACATCTATTTTCTTGATAGTGTTATAGCTTAACATGTTTTCTTGTCTGACCATTGATAATGTAATGGTAAATGGACATAGTGCTTAGTTAGTCTAAGGCCAGTTGACAGCAGCTAATTCAAAGTTATCTCCAACTCTTATATCAAATGTAGTATCACCTATAGCAGAAGTTGTGATCACAACATTCTCACAATCATATCTAGTTTAATTATCACAAATATTATACTTACTTTTTCAGGGTAACAGTATAAGTATAGAATAAAGTTTATCTTGTTGAGGAAATATAAGCAGAGACCTAATAAATCATCACCAAAGTATCTAGAGATCTATCGGCTGTGTTGAAATCTATTTAAAATGTTGTGAAGTCAACTGTATCGAATCCAGATGATAATACTAAAGGACTTGAATTGACAGTATCCCGAGTTAGGGTATGAGTAACTAAGCTTGTATCAACTAGAGCACAGTCAAATGTTACTTTGTTAAGAGTAACACTAGTTGTACTGCCTATATAGTAATTGAAAGTCAAAGCAGCATCACTAGAGGTGTAAACATTCATTATATTGCATTAGCTTATCAGTTAATTGGTTGTTATAATATCAGTAAACGTATAACCTGCATGAGCACCAAAT